TTGCATGTCTGGATAAAACTACTGCTTTAAGTAAGTTATGTTATGTATAATATTGTTCTTTATTCTATTACTAAATGCAAAATATAAGTAAAATATATTTTTTCAGATCCTAATGATGTAGTTATTGTGATATTAAATCAGAAGGAAGGTTATCATATAGCACATGCTAATATGTTAAAAGCAAGCATTGTTGAACAAGCAGATGGTCTTGACAAGGTATATATGTACTGTAATATGTAACCTTCTGCTTCTACTTTGTTAGTTGTATATATACTTTATTCTTTGTTATTAAAGTATATTATATACGAAGTGTAATTTTGATGTAATATCTGTAATTTAATTTTTGCCCTAGGATTCTCCTAAAATTATCTTATCTCATGAATTGAATATTAATGGATCTTGGACAATAGTACCACTATTGGATTTTTTATTAGATACATATAAAACTTCAAAATGGTTTTTCTTTTGTCTAGAAAATACTGTAATTAGATTAAATAAATTGTTGAGTATTCTTTCCAAATTCAAAGTAAATAAAGTATGTTATTTTGTACTAAAGAAAGTACTTATTTACATAATAGTTATGTTATTGATGAATTTTTGTTTTAGAATTTGTGGATTGGCCATGCATTATATGATCATGAACCCACTATTATACATCATTTTGCAGATCATAATAAGAAATTTAAATATCCACATATAGCTTCAGGTTTTGCAATAACATCAACTTTATTAACAAGGTCTCATATACAAATATTTTACTTTAAAATATAGTCTAATTTCATGTAAATAATATGCATAAGATGAATTTTATTTCTTCAGCTTAGTAAAAAACATTAATGAAGATGAGAGATCTAAAGATATGTTTTCAATTGATGCATCATATGAATTTGCATCTTTTGTCTTAAAAGTTGATAAAGGAGTAAGATTAACACATGTGTCTGAAATATGTATTGTATCTAGTTCTAACTGTGCTACATATCCAAGATTTTTTCATCCATGTGTAAGTTCATAATGTTTTATATTATTTGTATTGTTTTATTTTATACCAATATAGTTCTAAATGAAGGGTTCATCAGTGTCTCCTGAAAATGTATATTTTGCTGTAAAAACTTGTGCAAAGTATCATGTTGAGAGGATTCCTATAATTAAAAAGACATGGGCAAAGTATGCTACAAATATTGGCTACTTTAGTGATGCAGTTGGTATAATTACATTCATCATATAATTGATTAAATAATGATTATTCATATTAATCAGCATTTAAACTATATACTTTTTTCTAGTATAGATAATTATTTGCCTGATGCTTTTGTTATGCCAAATACAACATATGGTCATTGTGCAAAAACGTATAATATTTTAGTGGAAGCAGATAAAATTCTAAAAAGAAGAAGTTTAAATTGGTTAATAATAAGTGATGATGATACAATTTTTAGGTAATCATGTTTGTCTATAATATGTAATATACATTCAATGGTAAATGGTATTAATACAATATTATTTATTTAATTATTAGTGTAGCACGTTTATTACGCTTATTAACATGCTACAATTCAAACATTCCACTTGCTATTGGAGAACGATATGGTTTCCAGCTGTGGAACAATATTTATGGATATGAATACTTAACAGGGGGAGCAGGTGTTGTTTTATCTGCACCTTTAGTTCATGAAATGGTAAAATCGGGTAAATGTGACTGTCCATCATCTTCAACCCCTGATGATATGTACCTATTTGGTATATGTTTAGCACGAATTGGAGTACAACTAGTACATTCGCCAATGTTTCATCAAGTATGTTACACAAAAATATTTATTATTAATGTATCATGCCCAGTGTAATTTGTAGGTTTATATATTTAATTCATAGAAATATATCATATATGATTTCATTAAAAAATACAATAGCACTTGCATAAATAATACAAATTATTCCATTTTGTAATTTTATTATGAATATCAGAAGAAACATAGTCTTAAAATATTATTTATGTCATAGATAAGTATAAAAATTTTAAGGTGTAATATGTTTATTACAGGCACGTCCTACAGATTATGCAACTGCATATCTTGCTTCACAAGAACCTGTATCATTTCACAAATTTTGGATGCTTGAACCACAAATGGTTTATGACGAATGGTTTGCAGAAGCGGATAAATTCTTAAGTATAAGTGAAAAACACATAGAATTATAATATAAAAATGGTTTCCCAGCTATTTTATAAATTCCTAATAATGATTAAAATGTACAAAAATAAAAATTACTTATTGGGAATCAGTAAAACCATAACATATCTTGATATTATTAAGGTTTTTAAACAAAAGAATTATATAGGGTAAAGCACCTAACTTGACCACTTCAAATTATGTACTCGTAATTTATTCGCTGCATGAAAAAATGTTTCAAACAAAAGTTGCATGGTTTTAAGGTGGATATATAAGACGATAGATTGTTTGTTATTATCTTACATTTTTATTTAGACATGAAGATCACCTCAAATTTTTTAAACAGGATGCTCAATATTTTTTTCCGTATTTCCGTATTGTACCAAATAGGGTCTAAAGTTAACAATTATTGAGATATGAGTAAAATAAATTTTATTTCAAGCGGTGTTTGAACTGTCGTTGCAGGCAATACAATTGCGTAATCGGATAATGACCGAACTAGAAACTTTGAAACGTTTTAAAGCACGACGAGTGTTAGAGAGACTGTTTCCTAATCATTGGATTGCGTGAGGCAGTAACATTTCATGGTCTGCACACTCGCTAGATCTAATGACGCTTAATTACTTTCTTTGAAGGACACTGAAAAATGAAATTTATTGTGGGCTACCAACGACCGTCGAAGATATGTGAAAACGTATCCTTATTGCATTTACTTATTATTCGATTACGCAATTGCATTCCCTGTAACGACAGTTCGAATACCGCTTGAAATATCTCAGTAATTGTTAGCTTTAGATCCTATTTGGTACAATACATTTTATGCGATGCTTGATACTTTATGGAAATACGGGAAAAAATATTGGGCATTCTATTTAAAAAATTGAAGGTGATCTTCATATCTAAATAAAAATGTAAGATAATAACAAACGATCTATCGTCTATGCACTTTTGTTTCAAACATTTTTTTATGCAGCAAGTAATTTACTTTTTGAGATTTCAGAATTACATATGTATATATACATATCACAATTTTGATCGTACTATTTCTCTCCACCATGATGGTCGTTCAAAGTTTTCTTTGTCCTTAAACATCTCTTCTTTCAGATATTTGTATACCTATGTAAAAAATAAGCTTAAAAAACTATAGATTTAAGGGTAAAATAAAAGAAGTAACATACTTGACCATCAGCCATTCCTAATGGAGAATTTAGGATGAAATCTGGTGGTGCCAAAACGTCGACTAAAGCTACAGCATCTTTAACTAATTCTTTACACAAAATTATAATGCCTTCTCGTAATAATGTACTCATGTTACTTTTAGAAGATGCGTAACCACCGGCATAAAAGTCTCCCAATCTTTTTTCTAAAGCAACTGCTCCATAAAGTGAACACAACTTCGTTAGTACATCGCGTTCATTTTGTTCCCACAATGAGTTCTGTATAGATTCTATGAAGTACTTCATAATGACGTACTACAAGAAAATATTTATAGAATTAATGCAATAATGAACGTTTAATATTAAAAGTAAAATATTACCTGCCCATATAATTGAGATAATGTTTGTGCAAAGAATACTTGTGTATTATTCCTAATTTCGAAAGTATCATAACCTTTGCGTTTTAAATTTTGTGTCTGTTCATATGTTCCTTTTAAGTAATAACATATTAACCATTTAAAAAGTGAAAGTAAGTCTGTAAAAAATAAGTGTTAAATAATGTTATGTATTGTGAAAATGTGCTTAAATTATAAAAATATTTTCATACTTTCTGGTTTTAATGTCTCGTGGCTAGTAGAATAAACAAAGTTTTGTGTTAAAATATTGGCGTCTCCTATAAAATCTACAGTTTTTAGGGGAGAATTGACAGGCTTTCCATGGAGTACATTTGACCATTGGTTTAATAACCAGTTGCTGGCTTGTTGAATTAGTACATTATTTTCACCCTCAAATGTACAAGTTACATCATTTTCAGCTCTTAGGTCCCCCAGACGTGAGACTAATAATTATAAGTAAATAATATAAAAACAAAGCTCAGGATGTTTTGTTGTGCTTTATTACTTTATGATTAACTTACCTTTGAGGTAACCATGTCCTCCACAAGATTCTCTACAGTCCTGAATAATATCTCGACTAGTCCATGAACATAATGGCTTTGTTGCAGAAGATAATGCATGTATTTCCATGCCTTCACCATCAATATCATCTTGAGCTTCTGTGCTCATAAGTTTCATTTGAAATTGAAACATTTTATTTGCAAGCTCAGTAGAAAATATTTTTAGACCATATGTTGCTGCCAAGTGAGGAAACAATCGCCATTGCTACATGTTTATGTCAAATTTTAATTGTACAACAATTTTATTTAATAGGTTTTCATTCGATTCATTTAAATACCTGTGCTTGATATTCTATAACTGGCCATTCCTCAAATTCCGATGGTCCAAATTGTTTTCTTACAGCACAATACCGTATGGCAATGACTATTGCAACAGATGCTAAGTTTGCACATATTGATGTAATTGTAATACGACCCCAAGATAACGCACCCAACGATGCACCTATATGAATTTAAATGTAACATAGTCTTTGAAATTAAGTCACAGGCGATATACCATCTCTTTGAATATTTACCAAATCTTTTATTTTTGTCTTTTATAGATGCTTTATAATTTCCATTTTCAGTGACATCTGCTGTTCGATTTAACAAACATGTTTGAGGAACAGAATAATTGTCGAATATCATAAACCCATTGTCTAGTCCATTTAACGCAATTTTTTCACCCATATCACCAATATTAACACCTGGATAAGGTATATGGTTATCTGGATTTCTAATGGGCACAATGAAAGTATGAAGACCATGATTTTCTTGATCTGGTGTGATTAATTGTGCAAATACAAGAGCATGTGTTGCAGTTTTTCCTAAAAGTGTAACATTTTTTATTCTTTGTTCATTTAAGTTAATTTATATCTTCTAAAGCACATATTATATTACTTACCTAAACCACCAGACCAACATTTTGCCGCTTCAAAATCAGGAGTATGTAAGATAAAGTTTTTTGATTTCACATCGTATGTTGCTGTAGTTCTTATCCCTTTTGCATTTGTTCCATGAGAAATCTCAGTCAATGCAAAACAACATGTGTACTAGAAAAAATGGTGTTATATATTACAGATGTATTCCTCAGAGTATTTTGTAACTGTCAGTAATTCAAATAATTCAAATAACGATTACACATTGGTTAGAAGATGATTTTTTATTAAAATTGTGTTAAAATTTTAAAATTTTATGTTTAAAAAATATTTCGTTAAATGCTTACTTGTCCTTCTTGAATCTTTTGTGCAATATCATAATGATCTTGTGTGCCTAAAGCAAGAATTGAACTGGGTGCCATACCATCCATCACACCCATTTTTATTGATATTGAGGCATCATATTGAAATAGTATATTAAACCAGTATGAATGTGTTAATGGACTCTGTAGAAAAATTATATGAATCATAATAGTAGGA